TATTCAAAAATAAATGGCATAACATTCACCAGCCTGGTGAATCTCGAAACTGACTCCATCCCATCATCTGATCTGACCAGAGACTGGCAGGCTGACAGGACCACAGGACAGAACTGGAGACACCCTTTCTGGGATAGGAGACAAAGCCCTTTCAGAGCTTTCTCCTTGTAGAATCCTTTCTCCCTTTCTCCCTCACACCCCATCCTCTCTCCAGTTACCCTACTCCACTAACCAAACTGCAGCCACTTCGAAAGCCCTGGCAAGACCATTCTCCAAGCCTCCTATGGACTATTCTCATTAGGAAAGCCGCTTCATTCCAGAGTCTGGGCTTGCTCTACTTGCTATTTCGTTCTTAAAATGGTTATTGTAGGCCGGGCGTGGTGGCTCACACCTGCAATCCTAGCACTTATGGAGGCGGAGGCAGGCGGATCACCCGAGGTCAGGAGTTCAAGACCAGCCTGACCAATATGGTCAAACCCCGTCTCTACTAAAAATACAAAGAAATTAGCCGGGTGTGGTGGCTGGTGCTTGTAATCCCAGCTACTTGGGAGGCTGAGGCAGGAGAATCACTTTGAACCCGGGAGGCGAAGGTTGCAGTGAGCCGAGATCATGCCACTGCACTCCAGCCTGGGCGACAGAGTGGGACTCCATCTCCAAAAAAAAAAAAAAAGGTCATTCTAAAATGGAACCTTAAAGTCACCAACCACTATGGTTGCCAAAGTCATCTAAAACAAACAAACAGAAAGTCACTAACAGGATGATGATTTAAAAAACAAACAGAACGATTCTGCAAGCAAGGGCATCGTCCGTACTCACAGAGGGAGCGGCCATTCCATGCTCCGGCAGACTCACACCACACAGGGAAACCACGCCAGCAGCCACCAACCCCAACCCGGCAGACTCATACCACACAGGGAAACCACGCCAGCAGCCACCGACCCCAACCCGGCAGACTCACACCACACAGGGACCGACCCCAACCCGGCAGACTCACACCACACAGGGAAACCACGCCAGCAGCAACCGACTTCAACCTTCAGACAGCGATTTTTCACCTTTGATCTTCACCCCCAGCTTCTGCGTCACGCTGAGTAGTTTAATAATAATTCCCTTGGTGTGTGGAAGAAACAGAAATAGCTCCACCAGGCACCACAGGCCTGCGTGGCAGTTTATGAAATCCTGGGCCTCTAATGCTCCCAGTCTCCCAAGTTTCCATTAAACAGCTGCCAAATGGCTCTCACTGGCAGGAAAGGCACCCTTGCCTTGCCTCCCTCAGTTTCTCCGCAGACAGGTCAGCAGGGAAGAAAAGCGTGTCACTCAACAACTACGTAATGGGAAAGAGGTTGCCCTGAGGTCCCACCCCGTGACCTCTGCCTGTCAAAGCCAACCTCTAAGCCCCTTTTTATAATCTTTTCCAAAGACTTAAATGTATGGTGACACAAAGCTCCCTTAATGGAAAGTCACTCTGGCTTGTATAAAGAGCTGTGTAAACTTCATCTCTGCATTTACTCAGTACCAGCCTTGTTTAATTTCCTGCCCGGGGATGTGCAGGGAACGTGACTGCCCTCTCAGGGCCCTGAACATCTTTCAAAAAAGAAACAGTACCCTCCCCACTTCAGGGCCCCCCGAAAAGGCAAGATACCTCCTCCGACTGTACTAAAAGGGAAGGCAGTTTGACCACATGTTCTCTGTTGAGCTTCTCTTTACAAAATGCAGCTTCAGACTGAGTGGACAAGCACAGACCACAGTTGGAGGGTCCCCTGCACCATGACCAGCTATGTGATCTTGGCAAGTGACACCACTTCCTGGGGTTCTGGCTTTCTCCTTAAGAAAATGAGGGTGATAGAAGTGCCTATCACAGGTTGCTGTGGGGAGAAAGATGAATGCTAAGCCCCCACCTAGTGCTCAGCCTGTGGTAAGAGGGCCAGGAATGTTAGTTACTAGAATCATTCTGCCATGGCAGATGGTTCATTATAGTGGCTACGTGCATGGACTCTGGAGTACCACTTTCCGCATCCGAGTCCCAGCTTCTTCATTCACAGGTGGGAGACCTTGCGTGTGTCATTTCTATAAAATGCAGCATGGGAACAGCAGCAGCTGTGGGGAAGGAATGAGCAGTGTTGGGGACATCAGGTTCAAAGACTTCCCTGCCCACAACCACCACCACCACCACCACCACCATCATCCCTGTTTCACCACCATCTCCGTCCTGCCACTGTGACCAGCGGAGCTGCAGGGACCTTTCATCCACACCAAACCCTTTGCAGACACCCCGCTCCACACCATTTCCTGGACAATCACAGCGTGTTTCCAGAGGAGGACCAGAAAACACTTATTTACCATCACCCCTCATTTTACAGCCCAAAGGGCTGAGGCCTTCCCCAGATTCCACTTAGAACCTCCCAAATGAGCCGCCTGGCGTCAGTAAGTCCCCCTCCTGGGTTCATATCTAGGATTATGGTGGACCTGAGAGAAAGTGGGGAAGGTAGGCCATGCCACTTCCCATATAGACCCCAGGTGGAAATTCTAGGCCAAACCCCAAACTGAGCAACCCAAGTCCTGCATTCCCAAGTAGCTGGGATTACAGGCACCAGCCACCACACCTGGCTAATTTCTTTGTATTTTTAGTAGAGGTGGGGTTTTACCATATTGGTCAGGCTAGTCTTGAACTCCTGACCTCAGGTGATCCGCCTGCCTCCACCTCCATAAGTGCTAGGATTGCAGGTGTGAGCCACCACGCCCGGCCTACAATAACCATTTTAAGAACGAAATAGCAAGTAGAGCAAGCCCAGACTCTGGAATGAAGCGGCTTTCCTAATGAGAATAGTCCATAGGAGGCTTGGAGAATGGTCTTGCCAGGGCTTTCGAAGTGGTTGCAGTTTGGTTAGTGGAGTGGGGTAACTGGAGAGAGGATGGGGTGTGAGGGAGAAAGGATTCTGCAAGGAGAAAGCTCCAAAAGGGCTTTGTCTCCTATCCCAGAAAGGGTGTCTCCAGTTCTGTCCTGTGGTCCTGTCAGCCTGCCAGTCTCTGGTCAGATCAGATGATGGGATGGAGTCAGTTTCAAGATTCACCAGGCTGGTGAATGTTATGCCGTTTATTTTTGAATCAGGTCTCACCACTCATTGGTGAAGCCATTCATGCCTTCCCAGGACCCAGGAAGTTACTGACAGCAGGAGCATCACCTCCATCCCAACCCTCTCCATCCAACTGACGAGCTGAGTCTCCCCCTGGCTGAAAGTCCTGATGAGTAGGCCTGTTCTGGCTTCACATAATGTTCTCTAGCATGATGCTGGCTGAGAAAAACGCTGTCTGAAACAGGTCAGGTCTTCAGAGAAAGGGACTCCCCCCATCTCCCGAGGGCCCACTGCCACTGCTGCTACTATGTCACGGATACATGGTGGCTGTCCTGTGCTAACATGGATAAGCCCTGGACCCTCTCAGAGCCAACTTTGCCATCTGGAAAATGAGGCACTGGCAGCAGCCACGTGGAGGGGCCCAGCACCCTGTGCACTGGAAGCAGACTGGGCAGCCCCCTGGGACCAAGGAGGGCTCTGTCTGGGATGCTGATTGGGCAGATGGGGCAGTGCTGAATCCTGTCAAGCCCTGCTGAAACCCCCACAGGCCTATCCCTGGGACTAAGTGAAAAACATCAAAGAGGGCATTTTTGTACCTCATTTGGTAAACACTGTAGAGTCAGGACTTGGAACCACAGTTTTAACTTCGACAAAGAGCTCACAGAGGTGATTCTGCCGGGCTGAGCAGGGATTTGTGGGTATGAGCTCTGGCCAAGGTCTGCACACCTTAGTTGTTCTTGTTATGCTGGTGGCCAGGCATGAGGTGGGAAGAGAGAATAACGAACTCATCTTTCTACTGGCTCTCTCAGCCAGTGTCACCAAGCTCTCCCCATGTATTGCACACCTGAATGTGGGAAGAGGAAAAGAGGAGAAGACACAGATGTGAACTTGGCTGACCCTTTGAGGGTCTCTGACAAATGAGCAGACAACAGGGCTGGGACCAGGGTGAGGGGTGACGCATCTAGGGGCAAAACTGAAGGAGACGCCTATTCCCAGCCCTGCACTTGTGGACTCTTGAGAGTGAGTGTGTCACTCAGTATTGCGCCCTAGGCTTCTCACCCACCTCCCCCTAATTCTGGCCCTGAAAGAAAATGCCAGGCCAGAAGTGAGGGGTGGTACTTGTTAAGAAGTGCAGGGGCTGTGGTGGTCCAGGGTAGTTGTTCCCACTCTGGTCTGGGGGGCCTGGAAGAATTCTCAGAGGAAGTGAGCAGTTCAGACTCCTGGGAAAGGAGATACCTCCCCACTCAATCCAACTGATTGCACACCTCTGTCCTGGCCACCTCACCTTTCCAGGGCTGCCAAGAGCGGGGGAAACTACTTTGCGCCGTGTCCTTTTCTTGCCCCTCTGTGCCCAGGCAGAATAGGCAAAAGAGAGCTGAACATTTGTGCACACGGTGCGGAATGCACACAGACTGGCAGGACGCAGCCGGAGAGGACACGGGGTCCATGGAACCAGTCTCAGCTTGAATATGCTTGTCTGGGAGCGCGTCTGCACACCCTTGCAGGTGGTGTGCCCGGCCTGAGCTACCCAACAGCCAGTGGGCACTCGGAACAAACCAGGCCATGCCTGGAGGTAGCCTGTCAAGTAGGAGGATGAATGCAGGTGTGCACGCTCGGCTGAGCTTTGTCTCTGAGTTGGTTTGCTTACCTCAACGGTTTGTCCCTGTTTGGCGTGTGGCTCTGTTCATAGGTCTGTAACTGTGTCTTTGCACGTCAGTCTTCCTGTGACCCTGTGCTTTTCTCTCTTTCTCTCTGTCCCTGTCTCTGTCCCTCTGTCCGTGAGTGATGTGAGGCCACGCCAGGGGCAGTCGCAGCCGCGTCCTCTCTTGCCCTCATTGGTTCGCAGCCGTCCCCCCGGCAGCCGCCGCCAGTCCCGCCCCTCCCCCGCACCCCCGCCCGGGACCAGAGCGCGCTCAGAGCCGCCAGAAAGCTCAGTCTCCTGCTCAAAACAGGAGTGCAGCAGCCGGAGCGAGTGGGGACAAGCTCGCCGAACACCGGGCGTCTCGACAGGGACCCGAGGCTGCAGGACTGCTCCGAGACGCTGCGGTGACGGCAGCGCCGGAGGATGCGGAGGACTCTCTGGCCACCTGCCCTCCGTGCGCTCTGCCACCAGCGCTCAGCAGAGACCCCGGGCTGCGGCTGCACTCGCTGAGTGCCTCTCCCAGCAGCCGCAGCCCAGAGGTGCCCGGCACCTGGAGCTCACTGGAGCTGAGGGTCCGAGCTGAGCTGGCTGTTGTAAAGCCGAAAGACGAGTCAGTGACTGGGACCTCTGTCCTGGTGGCGACGGTGAGAAACGGTGAGCCCGAGGGGCGCGGCATAGAACTCTCCAGCTCCGAGCACTGGGGTCCGCCGGCCGGCAGGGAAGGCAGCTGAGCGCAGAGGCGAGTGAGCGGACGCGTCCTGGGGTCTTTGCAGTCCCCGCCAGCCCAAGGCACCGACTCTCGGTCAGTTGAGCGCGGCAGGGCGGGAGAGGCGCGCCATGGAGGCGCCGGGTTTCGCCAGTATGCTCCAGGCCAAGTGAAGCGGTCCGGCTGGGGTCGGCGGGACCCGCGGGCCATGTACGGCGACATATTCAACGCCACGGGCGGCCCCGAGGCGGCGGTAGACAGCGCGCTGGCCCCAGGAGCCACGGTCAAGGCAGAAGGCGCTTTGCCGCTGGAGCTGGCCACTGCGCGCGGTATGCGGGACGGCGCGGCCACAAAGCCCGACCTGCCCACCTACCTGCTGCTCTTCTTCCTGCTGCTGCTCTCGGTGGCGCTCGTCGTCCTCTTCATCGGTTGCCAGCTGCGCCATTCGGCCTTTGCCGCGCTGCCCCACGACCGCTCGCTGCGCGATGCCCGCGCGCCCTGGAAGACGCGGCCGGTGTAGTGTGGGACTGAGCCACGGCCGCCGGGCGCCCGGTCCCGACCTAGCCAAGAGCAGCCAGCTTGAGCCTGGTAGAGAGGGCATGATGCCGGGGATCGCTGGCCCCTGGGAACACTGCGCCCTGACCCAAAGACCCTTTCTGAACTAGAGTGGCAACCCCAGCGGAAAGGGAGACCGAGGCGTCGGGAGGCTGTGTAGGGTCTCGATTCCAGTACCTGTAGGTACCGTGGTTCTGATCCCCTGGCCGAATCTTTCTTCCTCTGGACAAAGGGTCCAGTCGGGAAACCTTCCTGAAAGGCGGCGCGCCAGCCCGGGCACAGAAGGCTTGCTCGCCGCCTGCTGACTTCCTTACTTTGCACACGGAAGGGACAGGAACCGCGAGCGTGCAACTAGCCTGGAGCTACTTGTCTGGACTCGCAGGCCCTGTGGCTGTTTCCCCACTGCTGCCACCACCTCTCTTGCTCCTTGACACCGAGGAGGACCCCACTAGGATCTCAGCGTCGTGAACTCACCTGAACTTTGGAAGGTTGGCACTCCGGGGCCGCATCCCCCTGGGGAAATGACTGAACGCGGGGTTTCAGTGGGTCCCGCCCGGGTCTAAGGACCCTGTGTTCCTTCTGTGGGCACAGGCAGTGGGAGGCCAGTGGAAAGGCGCAGGGGCCCACCTACGCGTCTCACATCTTCAGGGGCCGCATTTCTACAATAAAAACTCACCCAATTAAACCTAGTGCTGAGAACGTGCTGGTAATTGTTTGCGCCGCTTTGGAAAAGGGGATAAGGGTAGATCGATCCTGAGTAGGAGACCCAAGGGAGACCCACCTCCCCTCCCAGGACATTTTGATGATACTACCCCCTCTTCAGCTTTTCCCCAGGGTCGGTCAATTACTGCCTCGGGAAGTTTTTTTTCAGGATGGTCTCCAGGGAAAATTGCTCCCTGACCTGCTGAATAAATTCCCATTAATAGGGCTCCTGGGGACCCTTTCTGCAGGGCAGTTCCTTCCACCTGGCATCTTCCCTTTTGCTCTGGGCTTCCCTGGGTCTGAAACCCCTGAAGAGCCATATCTGGACCAGAACCATCTGGTGAAGGAAGAGCCTGAAGGTCAGGTGGTGGCAGTTCCTCCCAAAGGAGATGGGGCACTTCCTCCCAAAGGAGATGGGGGCCTGCCCTGGAGAACCTGGCAGGAGGGAAATGGATGCATAAACCCAGTTAAGGGGAAAACAACTTTAAAGAACTTGAGAGGGACTAGAAAGGCTTGTGATAACCTTACAAAAACCTTAACCAAAGTTAACCCAATTATAGGGAGTCTTTTTATGGGGCTTTAAAACCGTTTCAGGAGTCACCTGGCTCTGGAGCACTAGAGCTTAGAGAAGGTTTGACTGAAAATGAATTTGACAGACTGGCTAATACAGTCATTCTGACCCACGCCAGGGTCACTTGGGCTTTGGCAATCTTTAGACAACTAAGGACTCTTGGCTCTGGCCAAATGCGTACAGGCACAAAATTCTGCAACAATTCTAAGAGCTGTGACACTGAAACTGGTTCCTGAGGCCAGATTGAGGTTGGGGAAGAGAGATTGGCCAGGGCTCCCGAGGCCCAGCCCAGCCCACCACTTCTCCTCAGTCAGTGCCCAAGATTCCCTCCTGGCTCCTATCCCAGGAAGCACTGGAGAGGAGGCATAGAAACCAGAAAAGCCTCCCCGGGCTTGATTCTCCACACCTTCCAGAACTAATACCTACCAGGTCCTAACAATGCCAATTCTATGATCACCTCATACAGCATTTCAGTTTGGTCTTCAGAAAGGTAGCCAAACCTCTGCAGCCTATAATAAAGGTAACCCAAGCTAATCTCCATGAACCTTGGTTGCAGAGAGGACTAGATGGAAATAAATGTGAGAAATATGAGGGCCTGTGGCTGGCATACAAAATCACAGGCTGCTGAAATGGGGGACCCTTCAGCCTTGGTCTGAGGGCTTGGTCTGAGGGATTAGGAGACTAATGTAGAGGCAGAGTATCCCTCTACCACATGTGGTGGTGGCCAGATCTGATGGCAGTATGCAGAGCAGTCAAACGTACAAGCTCTGGAGTTCAAATGCCTGGCTTTAAATCCCAGCTCCACCTCTCACTAGCTGTATGGCCTTGTGCAAATAACCTATTTGAGCCTATTCCCTCATCTGCAAAATGGGTATTATGTCACCTAGCTCTACAAGTTTGAATAATAGAGTATAACCAAAGTTATTATAACCAATAACATGCTAGCATAATGCTTGTACAAAATGAGCGTCCAAATGATAGCTATTTGTAGAACTGAGCTATAGGCTTGAAGCAGCACTGCTGCTGGGAGAAGGAGACCCCACCAACAGGATGTGCTCTCACTAGGGCCCACTGTCTTTTGTGACCACAAACAAATGCAAAGACTGGTTCCTTCATGGAAGAACATGAGTAGATGAACATCATCTACTCATGACTGGCTTAGGATTCACTTGTAGTTCCTGGGCCAGAATCAGCTCAAACCAGAGTAATCCAGGAGGCTTTTGGGATCTCTCTGATGTCTCTACAGGGTTGCAGTGGCCTCAGCCACCTAAGTCAAATGCTTGGCCACTTCAAATGAATAGATACTTTGGGAATAAGTTTCTGGGTAATTGAGCCTGCACAGACCTGGAATCTAGAAAGCACACAGAGTCAGTAAGGGTACTATCTGCCAGCATTGTGAACCCAAGTAACATGGTTCTCTTTTCTAGGATAGTATTGGACTGAGGGGTAATGGGTTCTTTCTCATGTTGAACCCAGCCCCAGATTCTCTTCTGAGCAGCAGGGATGTGTCTGAATTCACATCTGCCCTCTACAGATATTTAGAATAAGTGGACTACAGTGTGGTGATTGGATATTTAGATGGTGTTAAAATTGAACGCATATGTCTTCCCAAGATTCCTACGTTGAAGCCCTAACCCCGAGAGTGGCTGTATTTAGAGTAAGAAAGTGAAGTTATATGAAATCATAAGGGTGGAGCTCTGTTCTGATAGGATTAGTGTCCTTGCAGGACCACAGAGAGCTCTCAACTCTGGTCAGGCGCAGGCACTGAGAAAAGGCTATATGAGGACACACTGAGAAGATGGTTATCTGCAAACTAGGAAGAGGGCCCTCAATAGAAACCGACTCAGCCGGAACTCTAATCTTGGAGGACTTCTAGCTTACAGAACTGTGAGAAAATAAATTTCTGTTTAAGCTACCCAGTCTATGGCATTTTGTTGAAGCAGCCCAAGCTAAGAGAGATGACTGTCTGGGAGTAGACCTCTGCACACACCCTCCTGCCCTTCGCTCTCCCACCAGTTCCAAGATGTCTTGAAATCACCTTTGGAGACAGGGCATGGCAGGCTAAAAATAGGAATAGGGCCCATGTCACAGGTGTTTGGCTTCCTCTGCTATAACCAGCCACCATGAGCAGCCAAGAGGGTAGAGGAAGACATTTTTGTTGGTGGGGGTTGGGGGAGAGGCTGGAGATCATGGTGGGGAGGTAGTTGCCGATGCTAGGAGCCAAGGAGAGGTAGCATAGTGGTGACCAAGAGTCTGAGTCCTGGAGCCAATTACCTGAGCTTGGTTGTCCACTCCATGCCTTCATCGTATTTCTGATAGCCCGTTTCATCATCTGTAGAATAGAGATGACAATACCTGCTTCAAAGGATTTTCAATATGGAGTGAAACATGATCAGTACAGTGTTCAGCTCATGTTTGACATGTAGTAAATGCCCTGAATGTGAGCTATCATTATTAACCAGGATGACCATTTCAGAAGTGCGTGCAGCAGTACAAACAACTGCTTCCTGTCAGTGACCTGTCCTTTTATCAGCCATGTGCTATCAGGAAACAGTAAAGAGGTCTGTACTTCCCAACAGGTATGCCCAGAATTGGAGGACAGCTATTCTGGGTCTTTTCTCACTTTGCACTTTCCCCCTAAACTATCTCATTTGCTCTCATGGCTTCAGTTGCTTTTCAGATGACTCTCCCCACACTATCCCTGAGCCCACTCAACACCTCCATTTGGGTATCTCATGGGAAACTTCAAACTCAACAAGCCTAAAACTCATCATCTGTCTAAATTAGATCCTCCTTCAGTCTTCATCTGAATAGATTGCACCAGCGTATGGTTGCCCAAAGTAAAAAAGGCATGGTGGTCATTATTGACCCTAAACTCTTCCTCATCCTCCAATATGTAACTCATCACTCCCTAGGCACCACTCTACTCCTGTCCATGTCCACCATCACAACTCTAACTCAAAGTTCTACTTCCATTTTTGTCTCTCCTCACTCAATATAACACATCTGCCTCCAGCCCCAGCATATATACCAATGGCTTCTCTTTGCTCTCAGGATTAAACACAAAAGCCTAATAAGGACCAGAATCATCTGGTCCCACCAGCCTCATCTTCTCTCACTCCTCTTACACTCCAGTGGCCTTTCAATCCCTAAGGCTCCTCTGCCTAAGCTATTTGTCTCTCCTCCTTCCTCTGGCTTGATGCCTTCTCATCCTTCATGTCTCCAGTTAAATGTTTCTTCCTCAGAAAGGGCTTGCCTAAATCCGGAGGTAAGATTATATCCGCTTAAAACCCCATATTGCCTCCCCAATCACAGCTACTAAATAACTGCATAATTAGTAGCCCAATGCTTCTTCCCACTAGTAACTGTAAGTTGTATGAACAGAGAACAGGGATATCATCTGTCCTGTTCACTGTTTTCTCAATGCCTAGCATAGTTTTAAACAGAAAATAGGCAATAAATATTTATTGAATGAAATATAGTGGGAAAACAGAGCTAGAGGTTAAAGTAAATTTGAAAGGTGTATTTACATCTAAGCATGTATCCTTTGATTTTCCACCTTAAACTAACCTCGTATCAGGTGAAATACTGAGTTGAACATTCCTTTATTGATTGGTCTTCCAAGTGGCTAGTTTCCTAGGGGTGGTAATTCAAAGTTGTTAGCAACTAACGTTTCCTGTCTCCACCTAGGTAACACTTCAGTTATTACTGTATCTCCTGCAGAGACTAAAGAACAAACATTTAAAAGTTTGTACCTTTAGCTATTTCTGCTTGAATTACTCCTTTTCCTGCAGAAAAGCACAGATCATTGCAGTAACATTCACATGCCTTCTGAATTGCCTTGAATAAGAACTGGTTAAATCACTGTTTCACATAACAACTTCCTCATCTTCTTGGACTTTGATCCCTTCCCTGGCTACTATATCTAAAATTATAATTCCACCTTGTTCCCCAACCCTGGTATCTTCCTTTCCTGCTTTTTTTTTTTTTTTCTCTTTGGAACTTACTGGTAAACACATACATATATTTTATTTACCTTGTTTGGTGTCTTCATTAACCAGAATGAAGATCCTCAAGAGAAAGAATTTTTGTTTTAACCACTCTTATTCCTCAGCCTGACATCTAACAAGCCCTCAAATATTAGTCAAATGAACGAACAAGCTCATACGGCTCAGGGCCAGAAAAAATAAAAGTATTCAGAAACACAGGAGTAGAGTCTATAGTTTAAAATCTCCCTCATTTGTGGGTCCTGCTTCTCCACCCTCCAAAACTGATTAACCTAATGAACTTGGAACTACTCAGTTATAGCTTCACTTTCCATGAGGACAAGAACTATGATTCCAGCTCTACTGCCTAGCATAAAGCTTGACCTGTAGTAATCACTGAATTGGCAAGTTAGTATTAATTGGGTTACAGTCCAAGCTGCTATAACAAAGCCATCCGCCACTCAAGTTTCTTTCTCACAGCACTGTTTCAGGGGTAGCACAACTGTTATCCTCATCCCTCAGCTTCCATGTCCACTTCAAGGTGCATACTCTAGATCCTGCCTTCATATCTGCATTCCAGCCAGAGGAGAAAAGAGCAAGGGGTGCATTCCTCTTCCAGATATAATGCAGAAGTGGTGCCTATCACTTCTGCTAATATTCTACTGGCCAAGCTTAGTCACATGACCATACCTAGCTGAAAAGAAAGCTAGGAAATGTGGTATCCAGCTGGACACAGGTGTTCTGCAATGAAAGGGCAAACGGGCACTGGTAAGCTTACAGCAGTTTATTAAACAGACAATAAAAGGAAAGGACCTTCTTTTCATATGAACATCATCTCTCCAGCCTTACTATTTACACATTACTAGTTTGTGCCTGCATTCTTCACCTTCACTGAATTCACTAACTTGGTCTAAACAATTCTAAGTTAATGAAAACCACATTTCACAAAATTTTATGTAAACAAAAGGCAATTAGGGAAAGTCTACTGTTAATTACACTTCTGAACTAATGTTGGCAAAACTATAAAGTGGATAAAATCTAAAAAGCCCTCCAGACCCTTTGTTGTTTCTTCTTCCTGAACTTCTCCCCCTATATCACCCACACACACTCTTCCGCAAAATTAATCTTTTATTCTGAAGCACAAATATGGTTCATATATTGGTTTTATCTTATGTTCCCACTCCCACCTGAGTGCAACGAAAGGCTTGCCCCTTATGTACAACAGTTAGGGAAGGATATTATGGAGTCTAAACCATGGCACTAAAATCACACTACAAAATTTTTAACACCCCAGCTTCTGTAAGCTCTGAAATTAAAAGTACACTTTTTGCAGTTATTTTCTCTTGTCAAGTGTATCAAGGAAACTATGCCCTGTCTACTTTCTTTGGGAAAATATTAAATGTTAACAGGTTAAAAGCTCTAACTTGACTATTAATTTTGCAGGTTCTACAAGCAACAATTCCAAGAATTTGGTAACTTTGGAGCAAAGTCCAAAAGTTCAAAGAGAAAGGATATGAGAGTTTTCTTAGCTGAATTTCCCCCTTTCTTCTCAATTATACTTTAGCCAACCCTCTCAATACCCCACCCCACATCAAACCACTTCTCAGGCATAAAGAGATCTAATAAAACATTGAGCTAGAAACAATTCAACTAAGAAGTATATTATTACATTATTTAAAAGGTAAATTCTAAATACTTAAAAAATTCACATCCTGCTTCAGTACTCTCATTAATTCAACAAATACTGGCACGCTTACTTATATCAAGAACTGTTCTAGCAGTGGCAACACAGGTCTGTCCTCACAGATCTTACATTCCCATGAGGTAAGATAATAATAAACAGGGTAAATAAATATATAATATGTTGGATGGTGATAAATGCTACGCAGAATGAAAAGCTTTCTTAGGTACAAAGAACTCAAGAAACACTTTGGAACCAAACCAACTTCTCTAAGAACTCTTTCAAAAAAGGAGCTAGAGCTCCATCCATAATCAGTAAAGTATCTGTGAAAGAAAGCCAAGGATCAATGTACAGTGACTACCAGAACAGGTTAGAAGGGCACACTCATAAACCTTTGCTACTGGTTTGGGGGTTTCAGTTTTTACTTTTCTCACCGTTAAAATTCTCAGCATTTATCTCAGATGAAAGTATTATTTAAAATGAAATAATGGAGGCAACTTATTAGATGGGGAAGGGGTGATTAAGACAAAGTATAAGCATCTTTTCAAAATCCATCTCTAAACATCAATAAACTGCCTCAGAAAATCTCTCACTAGGAATTACACACACACCCACTTGATACAATATGGATAATAAGTCTTAACCACCAGTCTAAATCCCTCTTCCCACCTCCCATCCGACATACTTTAACATGGAGACGGTTAAGCAAGCGGCCCATAGCTCTTCTTTGTATTGCCCATTACCCTTAAAAAAAAAAAAAAACCAATTTAGATAGAAAGAATAAGTTATTTTTGTTTTTGCAAAGTTTATTATAGACTTACAAATTCGACGACAAAAATCAGTAATATTTAAAACGTTAAATGGGAGGGGTGTTTTAAAAATGCTTCCTTCTTTCAATCATAAATACTATAGAGCTCTAAATAAGTACTCCCTTATAAACATTGCTGCAGCCTACTGACAACCTTAAAAATGTTTATAAAATGATACCTGCATCAAAACTGCTGTAATACAAATAGTATTAGCCACTGTCCCACCCCCTCATCACCTGAACTGTTTTGGCTATAGCAACCTGAAAACTAATTATCTTAAACCCAAGAGAAGCCAACATCCTTAGTGCTCACTGAACCTTCTTCTGCCAGGACAAATGTGCTTTTTAAAAAAATACACTTCTAAAACAACCAGTGATGTTGCTACAAAATACCTTACAAAATGCCTTTTAAGTAAAAAGACATAGGAATGAACTGATTCTCAGAAATTGGTAGCAATGTCCAATCTTTTGGCTTCCCTAAGCCACAATGAAGTATAATTATCTTGGGCCACACATAAAATACATTAAACACTAACGATAGCTGATGAGCAAAAAAAAAAAAAAAAAACCAAACAAACAAAAAAACTCGCAAAACAATCTCATGATGTTTTAAGAAAATTTACCAATTTGTGTTGGGCCATATTCAAAGCTGTCCTGGACCACATGCAGCCCATGGGTGCGGGCTGGACAAGCTTGAATACCGGAAGTCTTTCCTTAAAAAAAAAAAAAAAAAAAGGGAACGAGTGCTTTTACATTTATCCTTTTAGGGTTAAAATATGTAGTTTGGTTTTTCTACATTTCTGGCAAGGGCACATGATTTTTCACCATTCCATTTTTTTTTTTTTAGATGGAGTTTTGCTCTTGTTGCCCAAGCTGGGGTGCAATGGCATGATCGTGGCTCGATGCAGCCTCAGCCTCCTGGGTTCCAGCGATTCTCCTGTCTCAGCTGGGATTACAGGTATGCGCCACCACACCCGGCTAATTTTGTATTTTTAGTAGAGACGGGGTTTCACCATGTCGGTCAGGCTTGTCTTGAACTCCCGACCTTAGGTGATCCACCTGCCTCAGCCTCCCAAAGTGCTGGGATTACAGGTGTGAGCCACCACGCCTCGCTCACCATTCCTTTCTAATTAGAATGAGTTTGCACATCTTCTATATGTAATTCAGAGGTTGGTGAAAGTGTGCACCACAGTGACAATGATGCAAAGTCAGTCTGTGATTTAAAATTTTTTCAAAAAAGAAGACAAAAGAAAATAAAAAATCGTAAATTCACAAAGTGGATAATCAAAGGTTGATACACTGAGGTTAAGCAACATCAGAAGTAATTATTCTGAATTAAAGAACTAGTAGAAATGTAAAAGATAGTAATAATTTTAAGATTTGAGTTCTTACGTTCTAAGTACTGTTCTAAATACTGTACTTGTATTACACTTCAATTAATCGTCCCTTAAATCCTTCCTATGAAGCAGACTTTTCCTTTACAGGTCAGGCAAGTGAGGCATAGAGTGGTTAAGCAACTTGTCTAAGCTATGAGGCCCATGACTCAAACGCAGGCAGGCCAACTCCAGAACAAAACAAAACAAAAAAAGACACATTAAGCAAGTTTTGAGGTTTATTAAAATAAAGAATTAGCAAACAATATGCAAAAACAAAGTTCTTAAGAGTTATGGCTTTGAAAAGCACAATATAGTAAAACCTAATACATTTTTATAAGTATCAAAATAACAGAATTGAAGCATGTTGCTAGAATTTCAGCTTCTACAACATAAACAGAAGCAAAACAAATACAAATAAGCAGCAGACCTACAGTGCAGCCATCAGCTTGGTCTTCATTATCTGCATATGAAATATCTTAAGAAAATGTGGGCAGGTAGACACAAACATCTGTTTCCATGATTACAATCCTCGTCAATTTTAAAATAAGTGAATTTCAAAATACAACTTACGCCAACCATGTTAAAAAAAAAAAATCACTTCCCTAACCATTATCTTCTAGAGTTCCTATAGTTAAAATACTTTATGAATAAATCAACGCAACATTATCTCGATATTAGAAAGGAAAATCTGACCCTAAAAGTTTTTTTTTTTTTTTTTTTTTTTTTTTACACAAAGAACTTCGGATTCTTTGGCCATACTGGAGTTTTGTTATAGCTAACACTAGTCTGTATTAATTAAGAAGGCACTATTAATGAGGGGGGGAATCTACCTGTACACAAAATTATGTACTTTAACAGCATCTTCAAATAAACCTTTAAAGGATAATGGTTTATGATCATTTTAAGAATTTTAAGAACTGAGTTATTTGGACAAGAACCATACAAACCTTTTTCACTCTGCCATGAATGATCGAAGAATCCTGCTCTAGGACTGGATCTTTTCATAGAAAATAACTTATCACCTGTTTTACTGCAATTGCTACTAGCAATTATTATATAGCATGTGCTCTTCAAAACAGAAATAAAAACCGATGTGTGAAATCCCTTTCATTGGTTTTGGTAAACCATCCAATTTTGGGCTGTCATTTCAATTATAATACAGTTGTATTTTAGAAGATAAGATAATCCAATATAACAAAGGCTTGATAAATATTGTCACTCTGTAATCAGGACATACTAAACTGCAATTCAGCAAATTCCAAAGAACTGTCCAGGTTTCTTTCCAGCAGGTTGAATTCTTTGTTTATGCAGAAGAAATGCCTTCAATTCTCACATTCGATTCATGCATCTTGTATGATAAGAAAAGTTAAGAATTTTACTTATATCAATGAGAAAAATGCTGCTGCTCTGGGGGACCTGAGATTAGTCCCCCAAAAGCTGCCCTAATAATATCTGATACCACCTATAAACCACCACTTAGGAAAACTCTCTCCATAAAAATCACCAAACACTTCTAAAACCACCAGGCTACCTACTACCCTATGACACTTGCTCATCTAGCTGAACAATATAACGATGACACACATTTATATTTATACCCAAGAGAATAGGTGAGCATTTAACTAGTAAGACAAAGAAGGGATCTGACATTCTTTAAAGTTAAAATATAGGTCCAAAATATAAGTCATCACAAAAGGCTGAACTCAGTAATTATCAAAAAATTCTTCCTTCCTTATGAAGTAAAAAGGGTATTTATATATTTTAAGTGGCAAAGGTGATAATGATCCAAAGCACTATCAAGCAAATGACTAGAAAAAGTATAAAGAAATAGATCTAAATTGGTACATCAGATGTTCTCTATCACAGAAGTACAGCACTTTGATAGGTACTATCAAACTTTTTAGAGTTTCTCTGCTGTTGGTAGAAT